TAAATAAATATAAACAAAAAAATAGATGCGAATTTAAACGAGTACACACATACACACACACACACACACACATATATATATATATATATATATATATATATATATATATATATATATATATATATATATATATATATATATATATATATATATATATATATATAGTCTATTGATAATAAAATAAACAAATGAACATAAACGAATAAACGTTTACGAACATAAATGAACAAACGAGATCATTGTTCGTGTTTATTTGTTTGACTAAACAAACGAGATATCTTGTTCGTTCGTTTATTAAACAAACAAATATAAACGAACTTTTTGTCGAATGGTTCACAAACGGTTCGTCGAACGGTGAGTTTGTTTACTGCCTTAGCTACCAACTTGAAGACTTGAGTTTTGATATATATATATATATATATATATATATATATATATATATATATATATATATATATATATATATATATATATATATATATATAGCGTTGCAACATTGAAATTTAATCTATACGTCCGCCATAACAAATGTTTTATTTTTTTAATATTCATTACATACTTTACATTTTTCATTAAGTACTTAATAGTATGAACCACATGTTCACGCTCCGATGCACTATTATGTGCTTCAACCTAGTTATCGTAATTATCAACGCACACTAGTTATTTTGAAGTGACACACTGAGTTGATCGTTACTATCTAATTATTATTATTTATTGATAACTTGTGCACATTGAGTTGGTCGTTCTTAACTTAGTATTGATATTCAAAATATCCTCCCTAATAAATCAAAATATTTTTGCCCGTATTATTTCTCATTCATTTAAACACATGATATTTTCTAATATATTTGAATAAATGTTTTTCCATATTTTATTTTCTTATTGTTTTATCTTTTCTTAATTAATACATGATATATACCCCTCAATTAATATTATCTTAATTGAAATTAGTCAATAAATTACAATATAACTAGTCATATATTGTATTTAATATGTTTCCTTTTAAATTCAAATTTAAAATTTAAAATTTAAAATCTAAAATTTCAAATTTAAGTAAACTTTTGTATAAACCTTTATATTTAATTTTTTATTTTAATCAATCCGTATAATATAAAAGTCTCATAACTAGTAATAGTAATAATAACAAAAATTCAATTATTATTTTTAATATATAATATTTATTTTCAATGTCAGTACTTATTTGTTACTATTAGTATTAGTGATGACAATTATAAGGTTTTTAGTTATTATATTATTATTTCTTTAAAGGATAAAAAAAGAAATTATTACATTGTGTTATCTAAAAATCTTGCCAAATGAAAGGTCAAATTATATAATAATATCTAGTTTATCAAAGGTGATACATATAAGACATGCAAACATCTACGAGTTTTGGAATAACACGTGTCACATGTTCTACAAAATAGGATGTACAAACTTTTTTAGGTGTGCGATCTTCTAAAAAACAAACAAAATGCGTAGAAAACGTATGCTTGTTTGCAAAAAAAGGCCAGAGAGCTTTTAGAAAAAAAAAAAAAAAAAAAAAAAAACAAGTACCACCTACTATGACCCCGTTGATCCTACGCAAGCTCTGTAAAATGATTATACCTTCATGATAAGCACAAACAACTTCTCGAAACCATATCTTCTCTTCCTTATCCATATTGTGAGCATAAAAAACATGATACTCTAGTTTTTGGTTTCCTTACGAAAATTAAACAACTATATATTTTCTAATATGTTGCCTTTTGTGTGCATAAAACACAAAGTGTCCTCATGTAATAGCCGACACTGAATTTCTTTTTAACCCGTATGTGGGGAGAGGGGGGAGGGGGGATATATCAACACAGGAAGCGATCAAAATATCACCTTATTAGTCTAACATTTTATGTCTTAACAATTTTTTTTGTCGCTAAGTATCTCAATTTTCTCTCATTGTCTGTGATTACCATACTTCCGCTAAAATTAATAGTCATTTTAGCTCAAGATGTTTGCAATAATCAACGACTATAAATCTACACTGAAAATATATTACATGTTTTCCAATGAACTACTTCTTAAAAGTATGTCTTCAAAATGTCCCAGAAGTGAATTCTAGAAAGAGACATCTCATTGGTACCTCGAGTACAATAATAAAAAGGGAAATACACAATCCATAAAGTTTCGTGAGATACATATATTTTGATACAAAATACATATACATTTATTTCAAAACACTTTTCCAAACATATGACTTTAAACATTTTCATGCATTTATACTATGCAACACAATGTACCATTCCAACACACGCACAAGGATTGGATAGTTCATGCCACTAAGGTTGGTAACACTGGTTCTTTCCATATATATAAAGAACAAATCAATTTGTAATTGTTGTATGGGGAGTTTATACTCCCGTTATTTTAAGGTCATACCCTCAGAGTCTTTTAGGCACCTTATTGCCTATTATCTAGACAATCATTTAATGCAAATGTTTTCAATGTGTATGTATGATAACACTATATATAATTTATTTTCTTTCCAACATTCATTTCACACACACATAATGACACGATCTGCAATGTTAATACATTTGTAACTTTGAACATTAATCATAACATGTCATAAAGAAATTGTGTAAGCATATCATAATGGTTGATATTTCAACTTTGTAATGAAACAAGTAATTTGTGAGATGTGTCCAAAGTTGCAAATTTATATGTACTCACTTTTGAAATAATTCAAGCTAACTTGTATCTTGCTCTTATCTAAATCTCCACTTCTAGACATCCCCAAATAATCATAAACAATACCTCAATATACATGAATTTGTCTCACAATGCCATTAATAGGATCAACTATTAATCAATAAACTCATTGTTCTCATTAAACATCAACTTATTCAATAAAGCTTGAACACATAAATTTGGAGCACATTATCATTTTCATAAAAAAAATTGATCAAATTTCATCGATCAACTTGCATTTGCATCACTTTAACTAACCAATAACTTATCAACTTCAACTTTGATGACTCTGGACTCAATCATGTTAATGTTATAAAAAAAACTTGTTTTTGTTACTCATTGTTCTGTAATCTAACATCAATTGAATCATAAAACAAAATTTAACATTGAGGTTAATTTTATAAATCATAGATCATACCAATTTCACCGGATAAGAACAAGTGTTGGTTATTTACCTCAAATCCAAGATGATGTTATATTCTCTTTGAATTGCACTTGATTTCACCAAAATTTAAGCTTTAACACAAATAAACCGCACATTGAGGTGACATATATATATATATATATATATATATATATATATATATATATATATATATATATTCTTCTAAAGAATTTTGAGGTGAGAATGAGCTATTATGCACATATTATTCCCAACCGCCCTAGGACTCTCGATCTTAGACTAATCATACACTTAAGATGGAGATGCCCTCGTGTGAGGGGCACGTGAAGACAGTTAATGGATATCCACAGCCAATAAATGCAATAGGGAACGAAAATGCAAAAAAATAAAACAATAAGGACCGGTTGTGTTAAAATTTTGAAATTTAAGACTCGAATTTGTAAAAACCAAAGAACATTTATGCAATGTACTCTAGATTCTTATATATGCTTATTAAAATGCTATGCAATTTAAATTATACAAGACTTTAGTGTTATGGAACATTGTCAAAATTTTCATTTGTCTCAATGTCTAATTTTCTTAAGCAAAGAAAATTATATGATCATGTTTTGTCTAAACGAATCAAAAGCATGTCTTTTAATGGGCTAATGAATAGGCTTGTTGAAAATATCCAATACCCGATCACCCGACCCGACCCGTTTTGAATTCGGGTAAATCGGGTCCGGTAAATTGGGTTTCGGCTTTGAAAATTCAGGTAATCAGGTAACCCAATATTTAATTAGGTCGGGTATTGGATAGGTTTAAAAAAATTCGGGTATACCCGAATACCCGATTTAGAAAAAAAAACTAATTAATACACTAGTTATAATAACTATTAAAGTTGTATCATTATTTTACATAATTAGTGTTCCTTATAATTTAAACCAAATGTTATATGACTTCATTATTTGAACGGTATATAATAAATATAAAAGAAATTGTTAGAAATGAAATGAAGTTTTGAACACAATGTTACAATATATATATAATGAAAATGAATAAGATGTTAGATTCCTCTTCATTTTCTTTATGCACTAGGGATCTGTTTCTTTTTTTCAACTATGCATATGTTTGTTTTTTGTCATTTATTCTTTATGAATTGAAATATAGCTATATAATTAGTCCCTGCAATTTAGATAACATGATAAATTTTTTTATTTATAACTTTTATGTACCCAACTTTTGCATTAAATCATGTAACATTTTTGGTTAATCCAAATTTGATCAAACATTGATCATGTACTCTATAAATATTATTATTATTTTTTTTAATCAAAAATGAAAAATCACATAACATATTATAATGATTTGTATTGTTATTGTATATGTAATTGTTAATTGTATGAAATATTTTGTTATCCATTTTTTTATTAAAGTAACTGAAATGCAAAAAGGAATTTTTAAAAAAATCAATAAGTAACACTTAAGTAATTTTTAGGTATACCGAAAAATACCTACCCGATCTAAAACCCGAATACCCAAAAACCAGGAACCCAAATTAAAATATAGGTTAGGTAATGAGTATTATTATTTTAAAGAAATACTCGAATTACCCGAACCGTTATACCTAAAACCCAAAATTTTTACTCGATTAACCTAATCAATCAATTAAGCTTTAAAACTTAATCTAAAGCACATTTCAAGAATATCTAACATTCTAATGGATCAAATAACCCAAAAGAACATATATTCAGCCCATAAGAATGAAGCCCACAAATTTTATAACAAAACCCTAGCGCAGCTCATAAAACTCCTCTCTCACAATTCATCGCCTGACATTTTCTTCCTCTCAGAGATCACTCTTAGGCAACTAGGGTTTCTCACAAACATGGCGGCAGCTCCTCCAAATTCCGTCCAATGCTTCGGCCGGAAGAAGACGGCGGTTGCCGTGACTCACTGCAAGGCTGGTCGTGGCCTAATCAAAATCAACGGTGTCCCAATCGAGCTTGTTCAGCCTGAAATCCTCCGATACAAGGCGTTCGAGCCGATCCTTCTTCTTGGACGCCACAAGTTTGCTGGCGTTGACATGAGGATCCGCGTCAAGGGTGGAGGTCACACTTCTCAGATCTACGCAATCCGTCAAAGCATCTCGAAAGCTCTCGTCGCTTACTACCAGAAATTCGTTGATGAAGAACAGAAGAAGGAAATCAAAGATATCCTCGTGAGGTACGACAGGACTCTTCTCGTTGCTGATCCGAGAAGGTGCGAGCCGAAGAAGTTTGGAGGTCGTGGTGCTCGTGCTAGGTTCCAGAAATCATACCGTTGAAAACAGAGTAATGTTATTGCCCTTTTTGAAACTATCTTTAATTTGTGTCTGGTTTCTTTTTCTGAGAGTATTTTGCGACATTGTTATGGTGTTATCTTTCGTAGAAGTTTAATTTTGTTAGACTGTTTTCATGATTACCTATTTCTGTTTTCCATATAATCAATCATCATTTGCTAATTATCAAACTTGATTCTTGTTTATAATGCTTCAAATGTCTGGTTATATAGTTGTCAATTTAGTTGATATAAGCTTAGCTTCCTTTCAAGAGTCCTAGACATCAAATTAACACCTGCATTGTGTATCATCAATTCTTGAATCAATTCTTCTTGACTCACAACAACACAAATGTTTTTATATTAATTATGGTCAAGTATAACAGGGTAGCTAATCTGCTTTTGATATATTATTGGTGTTATGGGATTAATGTAGTGATTTTTGAGGGATGTTAGTGATCTCATTAAGCTCTTTATGAAAGTAATAAGGGAAAATGTATGAAAAGGTTGTGTTTTGTTAAATTAAACCTCATTCTTTTTGATTCTTGATTATATTTCATCCTTTATCTGGTTATCATATTCAAGGGATTCAACTCCTAAGTTACATTTTCATAAAAGACCAAAAATAGTTTCGTTATATACAATTAAAATAATAATAAAAAGTTATATGTATGTATTTAAGCGTATTGCCATATCTCAATATAGTCTATGATTGATTTAAATAATGTTTCGAGATTCATGCAATTGATAAAATATAAACTCAAATTGTTAATAGTATAATATTAATATTTAGATTTAAACAATGTTTTTAGATTCTTGCACCAAACCGTTCTTTCACTTATGATACTTAATTGGTTAACTAAAACTTGATGTTAATTACTACAACTCAAAAATTTTCACTTATGATGAAAACTTGAAACCTTTTGATTACAACTAGCTCATGAAAGCGTATACATATTCCTATGCTCATATATTTAGTAGAATAAACAAGTTAACAACAAAAGGAAGACAAGTTGAATTAAAACTCGTATATATATATTGCTATGTTCATATATTTAGTAGAATAAACAAGTTAACAACAAAAGGAAGATGAGTTATTCAATCAAAACTCATATGTCAGAATTTTGTTAAATCAATGTTATTCTTATAATTTAAAGCTTTAAAATCTTTTATCTTTATGTCAAATTGTCAATGACCACTAAAACTTCCGTGGATAATTAAATAACATGTAATTGCTTAACTCATAGTAGATATGTAATGAAAATCGACACTAATTCCATTAGCTATCATAATAATAAGTAATAATAATAATGATAACATGGGAAACCGTATGAAAGCCCTAATATATTGTTGGGTTATGGGGATACAAACAAGTTATAAAGGCACAACGAACACTTGAAGGCTTTAAAATTTTCCTTGTTTTGGAGAAAGGATGTAAAGAGTCCAAACCAAAACTCCTCTTTGGTAGTCACACACAAGAATATATTAGCAACACTTGACACCTCGATATCTTGTGAACACTTTGAACATAAACTGATGGATTTGATTGCACCATGATTGCGCCATGAAAAGTAAGAGGCCACATCTCAATCTTAAACAGGTTCGGGAGATAGAGAGAATAATGAGGGGTGATGATTTTTTTGTTACTTTCTATCCCCTTCAGAAGTCAAATAGACACCCTTAAGATTTTTATATGTTCCTGTTAAGTTATTAATCTCTAATAAATGAACAACTAAATCCTTATTATTTATCTCTTGTTAAATATTGCTTAAAATCTTTCTTGTGTGTAACACAAAGGACCTTTGCATAAATAGTAACATTACCAACTTGTTGTGATTGTGGGTACTAATTCCAACATTCTGATACTTGCATAAGTCATCAACAATAGAATGACTTAACATCCCTACCATAGCAAGGATTGTGCCATCCAATGAATATTTTCATACTCACAACTCTAACTTGTGAAAAAACCCTTAGACAAGTGATCAAATATTCATTCTCTCTTTGATATCCATATGAACGTTAGTCGTGGAAAGATGTCAATCTCAAATGTTCAAGATCATATTTCCCGATAGAAACTTGTGTCGACCATAACAAATTGCACTATTGATTAATTATCAATAGAGTCTTAGCATGACCATGCATTTGATGTCAACACCAAATCACCGAGGGGTTTAAAGATAAACTTCCCATGTTAAGGCAGAAAGACCAAATAAACTTTGACTACATAGACTTCGTGTATTCCTCTGTCATATATGGACATCCCTTTTATGGCTGCCGGTTATGGACAAAATTAGAAAAAACCAAGACATAACATATTGCAAAAAAAGGAAAATTCTCATGTATCTCTATTTGAAGAATATATGATATTATCACTGATGTGATATTAGATCTCTGGTGATGCTCTTCAATGGCTTGGTTGGGCTTCTGTTCCAGTCGAGGACCGCAATCACAACAAGAGAAACAAACTGTTAGCCGGTCTTCGAGAGGAGGTCCTAGGAGAGCGCTCTGACGATTAAGTCAGTCTCTGAGAGAGATGAAGTGTAAGTAGCGTAAGGCTTAGAGAGTGAGGATTCATCCCCTTTACTGTTGGAAGCACACAACCTTTTATTGTAGGGGTTCTAGGCATAGATCCCACTCGTGGAGACAGGAGTATCAGACCCCGATCGGGACAAAGACGTTGATCGGTAGATTGTCCCTATCTAAGCTGTGATTGGCTTAGCCATGATAGTGATGTGTGCACCTTCACTAGAGTTAACAGGTGTCCGTTTGTCATCAGTCGACCTTCCCACGCGGGTTCCTAGATGGATCCCGGGTATCGAGGGATATTCCGTTCCAGGCACAATAGGTGCTGGACGGTAAGGATGGCTAGCTGGTCGAGCCATGTGGCAAGTGCTCTCGACATTCTTGGAATGTCTAGGAGGCACGTTATGAAGTCTATCTAGTCTTATCTATTGTGATGTATGCATGTTTAGTTGCAACGGATGGGACTAGCCTTTAATGACGTGTTTCGTTGCATTTGGTTGCTGTCTTTTCGGCTGCACGTCGCAACAGTTTCCAACTGTGACGTCAACTGTCATCATTAGGGTTTTCGAATTTCCCGCCTATCGGTGCTTTTTATGGTTTCCTAGTTTTCACTTTTCCTCCCTCTTGATCTTTGTTTTATTTCCTTCCGCGTTTATTCTTTTCTTTACTATGGATTCTCCATCCAGGTTCGTTCCGACCCTAATCAGTTTGCTGCTATCCAAGAGATATGGTTTTCAGCCCGAAGACAGTGTGACATTTCCCGGTGAGAGTGCCAGTTTCATTAATCCTCATTGGCATATATGTGAAACACTTCGACGCCGGTTATCGCCTTGCGACGTCAAATTTCTTTTGAGAAGTTCTCCCTACTCATAAGGTTCACATCAATCAGTTGGTTCCCAATGGTATAAGCAAGGTGGTTGCTTTTGAGATGATGTGGCGTGCTAATGGGATCAACCCTAACATTTGGGTTTTTCGTCATTTCTTCCATTTCGCTGCTGTTTCCTCTGGTGAAAGTTATACCTGCGACGTCCGCAAGCATAGTCATGTTCTAGTTGTTGGATTAGGTATATAAGCTATAACTATTATTGGTATGAACTTGAATTGATAGTAGCACAATCCTTTTGGGTTACCCTCAAACATAGCAATCAGACAAGATATTTTTGGAGAGAGAGATTGATTCATTATTTGATTAATAAATTGAAATAAATAATTTATTAATATATTATGAGAATAATATATTAATTAGAAATAGTAATATTTAATTGATATTTAATCATAAGTTAATTGGAATTAATTTTGTGATTAAAAGAGTTAATTAAAAGTGCATGGACTAAAGTGTAATTGTTCAATAGTTGAACAAAAGGCATTTTAGAACCTACTTGAAGCCTTGGATGAGTTTCAGGTGGATTTAGGGTTCTAGAATTATCCATGTGGATAATTAGGAAGCTGGATAATAACCAATTCAAAGATAATATTATTATATTGGTTTTGGGTTTATCTAGGGTTTCCTTGCTGCACTATATAAATGGGCCAACCCATAGCAATTTCGACATTCATTCCTTAGAAGAGATAGGCCGAAATTCTGATCTCCTTCCCCCTCTTTCCTCAATATCCTTCTTGCTTGTGTTAGGTGTGAACAACTAGAGGCACGACGCTTGTAGTGCTTGCTTCCAAAAGATCAACAAAATTGATTCTTGATTGTTTACTTCAACAATCAATAAGGTATGTATTCTATCTTATGAATTCAGATTTTAGATAAGAAATTTTGTAGTTTGATAGTTCATAGAATGTTGCCTTTATATGAAATACATAGATCCATCATAGGTTGCACGTACCCTAATCATTTAATTGTTAAATGTTTTTCCGCTTAGAGCATAGAATTTTTGTAACCTACGTTTTCCATCACTAGTTACCGAGTAGAAGAACTCACCAAAGAATTGGGCGAACCTTTATTATTGGGTTAATGCTGATCGCGTAGGGTTCATGGAGTGCCACTCGACTTCCATTTCCGATCAATGCTTTACTATATACTAAGACAATAAGCATATTTCTAGGGTTCTTCTTTGTTTTCGCGTTGTGGCTGATGATTTCCTCGAATAGATGCTTGTTGGGGCTGGTATGAGTTCATCGTGGCGGCTTCGTGGAAAGATGTTAGAGTTTTACATTGTGTCGAGAGGTTTGCTTTGATTCTTTTCTTCACCTGCCATTCTCTTCTCCTCCCCCTTGCCTTAAAAAAAAGAATATATCTATTTGTATTGTATATGTGTTGAGAAAAGGGTTGACTTTATAGACGTGTTGGCAAAAAAGTGGGTGAGAAGTCTCCGATATCGTGAAGTGGAGCTTATTGACAGGGTGTTTCCGTCATTTCCTTTCTGTAATGAGGCTTTCATTGTTCGTGCGTCTCCAATTCAGGATGCTGAGCGGCGTCGTGCTGTTGTGGAGCCTTCACGAAAAAATTTGGGGAAAAAGAGCTTGTGGAAGACAGTAAGGAGGGGTTCTCCTTCCAGTGAATAAGCGGAAAGTTGCTTGGCAAAGTGTTGGTGGCCATGATGTTGAAAATATTGCTTTGGTTTGGTGTTTGCATCCGCAGAAGTTGGTTGGGGGGAGTACACGTGTGGCGAGTGCTCAAACGGAGGTGACTGATATTCATGGTGATGGGATTGTAGACAAGTGGGGTTTCCCCTAATTGGATGCAGGTGCAAATCTTGTTGAGTCTGAACCAGGTGTTGTTTTGGAAACTTCAGAGCGCTTGAATGTTGCGGGTGGTGGGAGTAATGTGAATGAGGGTTCTCATTTCTTGCGTTTTGGTCATATAAAGTCTCCAACTGTTGGTGATAGCGGATTGGGGAGTTCCAACGGTGTGGTTTTTTTTCCTTCCTGGTACTTGAAAAATGATTCACGCTTGTCCTTGTTTGAAGCTGTTATAGATTTCACGAAGAATGTTATTCCTCTAGGCACACAATCTGAAACGACCAATTATTCTTTAACTAACCTTGTTGGGTTTTTTCGCTTTGCTATAGCTAAGGGCGCCAACTTCTTTGCTAAAGGTGCTAACCGTCTTGAACGATTCCTTGTCGTTGATGGTGATCTTGCCCCCTTTGTGAAAGAAAATCATGCCCTTTGTTCAGAAAATGTTGCATTAAAGAATAAAAATTTTGAGTTTAAGGGAAATGTTTCGTGGTTGGATGTTCTTGATTCAGAGAAGAAAGTGTTGGAGGAAAATGTCACGAGTCTTGATCATGACAAGCTCGCTTTGGGGGTTGTGGTGGGTCGACTGAAACAGGAGAATGAGGGTTTGAGTATTTAGTTGGAGAGCATTGAGAGGGACTTGTCTGAGAAGGAACGACTGGTGGAGGATAAATCTGTAGCTTTTGCAGGAACCGTTATCCGTTTTGAAGAGATATGGTTGAGGCATTGGCCTCTAAACTCAAGGCAGGTCAAAGCCATAGGATTTGGAATCATGTTCCATTTTGAAGAGATATGGTCGAGGCATGGGGCTCTAGATTCAAGATAGTCAAAGCCATGGGCTTTGGAATCGTGTGCCGTTTTGAAGAGATATGGTCGAGGCATTAGCCTTTAGACTCAAGGCTGTTCAAAGTCAGGGGATTTAGAACCGTTTTCCATTTTGAAGAGGTATGGTCGAGGCATTGGCCTCTAGACTCAAGGCAGGTCAAAACTAGAGGCTTTGGAACCTTGTGCCGTTTTATTATTACATGTGAGTTTATTAGTGTGCACTTTGATATTAAAATTAAGAATATTTGCATTGAATGCATATCGGGAGGAGAGGGTGATCATCCTTCCTATCTTACATGCTTTTGAATGAGAAAAACATATGGAATAGGAAAAAAGGAGAGAAAGTCGTGCCCACAGGCTTGTTGTCTATTCGGGGTGTAGGTGTCATTATACCTATAAATATAATGGGTAAAGATGGATAGATGAAAGATGATATGGATGATGAGAGAAGAAAGATAATATAGATAATGAGAGGTGAAAGATGATGAGAAGCCTTGACTTTAAAAATGATCCAATCATTTAGCAGAGTATAGAAAACAATCACGGACGATTCTAGACGGTCCTGTGGAACGCTAGCAGACTCACAACTTGTAGGTGTTTTTGAGCTACGTGTTCACCATATGTACTCTAAAAACCCTGACAACTATGGACTTAGTGCCTTATAACGAACAATGGCAGTTATGGACTTAGTGTCTAATAGATAACACTGACAGTTGTGCCTAATAGATAACATCGACAACTATGGACTTGGTGCATGTAAGATAAACCCTGGAAGCGATGGACTTCGTGCCTATTCCTTAGGACAATCCTTAGGAATGAATAAATGAAGAAAAGATGATTCTTAGGGAAGATCCTTAAGAATAAAAAAGATAATGGGGATGAGAAATTGGTTTAATTGTTTGATGATTAAACATAATAATTATATTATTGTGGGTTGAAAACCCTATGTACTCACCAAGTATCTCAACCTGACCCACTCAGTTTATTGTATCACAGGTAACGTTCAAAGATACATTCTACTGAGAGATTCGAGGAGTATTAAGCCACTAGTTTAATTATTGTAAGGCTTGTAATATTTCGTTATGCTTGTGTTTCTGGATTGACGATGACATATTAATGTCATTATCATATTTTCTGGGAAATGCTTTGATAATATCATTATCATGTTTTCTGGGAACAAATTCCGCAATATTATTCTTCAAAAAGGATATTCTGATTTTTAAATAGGCATAAACAAATCGGTCTTTTCTGGCCGTGAAAATGAGGATGTCACAGTTGGTATCAGAGCATTAGTTTAAGCGAACTAGGAGTAAGGATTTATTTCTAGACTTAAACTTAGAATGCTAAGCGATGATCGTGAGGAGTGTGTCTATTATATTTTAGGTAAGTACACCTGAATTGACACGGGCACTAGTTTATTTTAGGAAAGATTCCTAAATTGCTTTTATTTGTTAAATGATTTATGATACCTTATGATGCTATTATTTGATCGGGTCTATGATCTATTGCCGATCGGATCTGGAAACTTTATGTGTTCAGATTTCTAAACGTTTAATTACGATAATTCAATTGACATGTAACTTTTCGAAGTGATAAAGAGATTTATACGTCTATCGTAAATAAAGCTTTCCCTATCTTAATTCTCGTTGTTGTACACCGAACATCTTCTAGAGTGTATAGATCGAAATGGTGAGAACTCGCAACGGATTAGGAAATTCTAATGGAAACCAACAGCCTGAGCCACGAGTGATTGAGCGTGCACCAGAGGTAGCAGCTACACTCGAGCCAATCACGATGGCAGGAGTCTAAGCGATGATTCGGGCTATGATGCCGAACAAATGAAGGAGATGAGAAAATGTTGCTTAATAGGGATGAACCTACTATACCTATTATACAACCCGAACTGAACATTGAACAATCAGAAGAAGGAAATTATAGTAGAACCGTAAGTCAAGCCGAACCACAAATGGTTAGGAGGAATAACCAGGATGAAGGAACTGAAAGGAGTGGATGCAAGTATAAAGAATTTACGACTTGCAAACCATCGACTTTTACTGGGAAAGAAGATCCAATCGGAGTTATGAACTATATCTCTGAGATGGAGCTAGCTTTCATAACATGTGGTTGCAAGGGAAAGCTACAAACCACTTATGTTGTGCGTCAGTTTAGGGGCGGGGGTGTTCGTTGGTGGAACACTTTGGGAAAGATCATAAGCCCCAATGAGCCACTATAACTGACATGGGAAAAATTCTTGGTACACTTTAAACTCAAGTTCTGCTCAACCCAAAACATGCTAGAGCTGGAGAACCAGTTTCTAATAATGAAAAAGGGCAGCATGTCCATTGATGAGTATACCAATGCCTTCACGGACAAGATGAAGTTTTCTTTGCGCATCGTCCCTGACAAGCTAACAAAAATTGATAAGTATATAAAGGGAATACCACGAGATTACATCATGCCAATACGCCAGACACCTACTCTTGAGGTGGCCATCTGGGCTGCTAAGTCTGTTGAAGAAATGATCAAAGGCAGAACTGCCAATAAGGTTGAAGTTGGCGAGAAAAGGAAGTTTGAGGGGTCTTCAAGATCCGACAAGAAAAATAGGTTCCCGAAATCTGACCCCAACAACAAGAGCTATGGGGATAGAAATGGAGAAAAGTGGTGTGAGAAGTGCAAGAAGAAGCATTATGGGAGATGCGATGGAAAAGTGACTTGTTATAAGTGTGGGAGGATCGGTCGCTATTCCAAAGATTGTACGATTAATGATAAAGTATGTTACAGATGTGGAGACAAAGGGCACATGTCAAAATATTCCTCGAAGAAAAATGAAGCTGGAAGGCCGAATGCGCCACCGAAGCCAAAGGAAAGAGCATTCCAGATTATCCTTAATGAAGCAAGTGACAATGCAAGGGATTAGGAGTAAGGATCTATATATTTTAAGATCGAAATATAAAAGTAGCCATATAGATAGTATCATGTGGTGTAGCCTAATATAAGAGGCATAGTATAGGGTGAACTTGAATATTATGTAATCGTTTCAAGAAATAATATAAACCTTAGTTATGCTATCCTATGTGTTAAATGACTATGTGAAATTCTTGTGTGGTGACTTGGAGAACTGAGAGGCAATACTTGGGAAGAGTATGAGTAGGTGTGAAAAGTAGTAGAGGCCTATACTACCAGAAGCATATGACTCACACTTGGATCAAAGAAAGTCATAAGGTTACCAAGGCGCTAGTAATTGATTTCTTTTTGTTCATGTATGTCGTTACCATCGTTTCGGTAATGACCAAGAAGATGATTGATATTGCGATCCTAGTGGTCATATCAAATAAAGTCTGGATAAGATATGTATGTTACGTGGTTTAGAGAACCAATTTCGATGTAGCATCCGACTTAAGCCAGAAGATTGAAGTGAAAGATAATTGAAGAGCTCAATGGAAGTATCGTGATCGTCATTAAAGTAAGAAGCTTGTAGCTAGAAGTGCTACATGCTAGAATGTGATTATATCACATTAGAACATGAAGGAAGGTATCTTCAATTCTGGATTTTAACTCTAAAAGACCTGAGTCTAAGCGTTGCATCATACGACGAGAGGTCATTAAAGCATGACCCATCGGTCTGGCTACAATAATTGAAGTAAACAACTTATCTTAAGTTAAGTTTTTTCGAGAAGGAGCAGGAGTCTCCAATAAGGATCGAGTTTGTAACTCGAAGGTTACGATTAAAAGTCTAACATAGTATGAAGATCAGATGCAAGATTGAGCACCGTCAGTGGTCAAGAAGTCCAAAAGTTAGATACTCATTTGAAAGGACATAAGAGTTACAGTTATTACCTAGGATGAAAAGATAAAGTATGGAGTCATTATAGGAGCCCTGTTTTGTTGATGATTCTGGGACATAATCATCCTAAGGGGGAGATAATTGTAACGTACGCAAATTTGGACTAATCAATTTAGAGATAATAAGCATTAAAAATGAATTTTTGATAAAAGATTATTTAGGATAAATAATCTTAACCAAATTTATAATATGTCACAAGGATTCCATACATATAAATAACACTGAAATCCGAATTATAACGAAGAAGTTATGACCCATCGAAGTTTCATGATTAAACCGACACGATTCTGTGTATTGTAAAAAAGTAAATTTTTGATAAAATACTTTTTATCTTTAGCAATCTAAATGAAAGTCGTAGTAGACGTTAAACCGATAGCGTACATGTAGAGAAAGTTTTTAATTTGACTTCATTAGAGGAAGTTATGATATTTGTAACACTTTGCGTAACAATATACAACCTGGAAATCGAAATTTAGATCGATCGATTATTGGCCAACACCATCTAAACAATAATTGAAGATCTCGTTGACAGGAACTCAACTATATAAAGATAGTAAAAAACTGACGTCGGATGACAAAGTTATGAATTTTTAACGGGCTTTAACTGTTTAAGCCTGTTAAAATATAACTTTAAAAATAAAATCAAAATTAGCCGACAAAGTCTAAACGAAAGTTGTAGATCCCGTCGATAGCTACGCGTGGATATAAAGAAAGAAAAAAACAAAGCTAGTATGCGGAAGTGACGGATTTGATAAGATAATTAATTTTCGGATTAACCAGAAATTGACACGTGGCAAGATCTAGGCCACACCATCTTCCTCAAGACTTTCCACAAGATCACGACATGTAGCATGTGTATGCCCAACGTATCCTTTGAGTACGCCCCGCATACATGTTTGCTGGCAACCTATAAACAGAGCTCGAAAATCACTCTTTTCTTCACACAATTCTACCAATTCTCTCCCCAACCCTCAAATCCTCTATGCCTTTTCTCTAGCACTTCCTAAGTGTTAGTAGCGAAGTTGCATAACATCAGACAGCTCTGAGAAGTAGAGCTTTCAGCTTAGCAGCTCTGCCCGTGCAGAGTCTGGATTCTCTCTAAACCACCTGTAAGTTGAGTTATGCTTACCGTACTTTAAGTATAACTTATGTTTAAG